TGCTGCCACCAAACCTTCCTCCCCCTCGTCCTCTGCCTCTTCCTCGACCATATCCACGGCCGATGCTCGCTGCCCCAGCGCCATCCGCACTCGCCAACTCACGGCGGCGGAAATCCTCTTGAAGGATAGCTCGCTTCACGTCTTCAAGCGAGAGGTGGGGCAAGTCGTGATTAAGGTTGATGATGAGCGAGGACCATGACTCTGGGAGTAAGGCCAGCAACTTGGTCTTCTTTTGGAGCTCACTGTAGTTCAAATCAGCTCCCTCAAGCCGCGTCAACAAGTCGAAGAATTTCTGCACCCCTTCTTCAACCGCTTCGTCTTCTTCAATTCGTAGTGCCGCCATTTGCCGTTCCAACACCACCGCTACCGCCGCTGTTGCAGGAGCATGTACACCCTTGAGAGCAGCCCATGCCTTTGGTCCTTTCTCTGGTTCACGCTGGAATGGCTTGATGTGACGGATCTGACTGCTCCCCAACGCTTGCCCAAGTAAGAGATAGCCTTGTGCGCTCTTCCGCACCCACGGGCTCTTCTCCGGGTCGTTCTCGGGGCGCTTCTCCGTTCCTTCCATCACCTCCAGCAGGTCATAGTGGTCAAAGATGTTCTCCATCTTGAAGGACCATTCAGCAAAGTTGTCACCGTTGAACTTGTCAAGCCCAAACACCCTAGGCTCATCCCTAGGTGGGCCAAGACTTGGTTGCATGGGCGCCATGGCTGAATCACGGGGTTGACCTTGAGCTTGAGCTTCTCCACTGCCACCAGCACCTCTGCCACCCCTTTCCTCAGGTCCAGACATTGTCGAAACTGCTCCAAGGGGCTCTGATACCACTTGTTATAGTCACAATAGGCTTGAATGTGCCTAAAACGAAAGATAGAGAGCACAGACGGATTTCTGCACAGCGGCTTCAAACGTTGATAGCGTTCTGCTCACAGCTGCAAATGACTTGATTCAAATTGGATCTGGAGCGTCTTTATGTCGTCTACAATTAGCAATTTAGATTGCACGATTTGATAAAGAATTGACGACACAGCGTCGGTTTGAACGAACGGTACTATGGCAGCCACTATAGTCTTAGAACACAAGATAGGAAGAGTTACGAGTTGGGAATGACTCCCAGCTCCTACAAACCCCAAGAGCCGAGGTACAGTGATGTGGAACAGTGCCACACTGTCCCCAACCACGAAGGGTCTCGAAACTACCCTCCACAAGGGCCTACACCAAGAGAAATGTTACACTACACAAAGTAATGCAACTATTCTCACTATCTTAAAGTTTACCCTTTTGGAGAGCTTCGAAATAACTTGAATCTTGAAACCAAGGCTCTGGTTCTTCAAGGTAAATTCTTCCTTGAGTTCTTGGAAGTCTGCTGCGCACACCTGCGACACGCCGAACGTTCCACACACGATAAAATAGAAAACCGCACACGACACGCAAACGACGACGTGACACGCGACTAGCGATAACTCGCTATTGACTCGACGCACACATTCAAAATCATGCTTCATCATACACACACTATTGTAAACATGAAATATATATTATTTCATGCCCTCATACCATTCCATGCACACACGCATGCACGCACACGGACAACAAGCCGAATGCAAACCGTAGGGTTGCACCAACAGCTTGTTCGTGGGGAAGACGTTGGGCGTGCTCTGTCAGTAGTATCGGCGTCGTCATCGATGGCGTCGGTCGCCATGGCTAGGAGAACGAAAGCATGGAAGGAGAGATGTGGCTCGAACTGTGCATAGATAGGAACTGAAATATGCACAATGACGAAGCAAGAGGAGACCCCTCGTCCTTGCGATTGTGCGGTGAGGCTTACCGCTAGGGGTGAGCAAAGTGGGTGGGTGGGTGGGTGGTCGTGGTGTGGTGTGACAGAGGGGGGGGAATCTGGACGGTGTGCCGGGTGGAGTGTGCAGTGCAGAGGGGTGGGATGTGATTGGCTGCCAAGGCAAGATTCCTTGGTTGTGCTGGCGAAATTTGCTGCCACGCTGCGTCGTGCTCTGCTGGCGGTGCGGGCCGTCAAGGCGACGCGCACGCACAGAGCCGAATCTGAATTGTTGCCGCTGATTGCGCACACCACTACAAGGAATTCAATCCTTAAAGCCGTTGACCCAAATTGCACAAGTTTTAAAAAGTTGACGAGAGGGGTTTTGGCTGGTTTGGGTGTTGGCGAGTGTTTCCGATTTCGTGAAATTCGTTTTTTTCGTCAAACCCAGCCAGCCCCTCGTTTCTACACTGGTGGGTGCGTCAGCCCTCGGAAGTCCCAAATTGCAGCTGCGCTTCTTTTCAAAGCTTGCACAGCCCACTTCGTCAAGTTTTGAAATCTTGACCCACGCGGTCCGCAATTTGGGCCACGGGCTTTAAGTTATTTTAACATGCGTTTTTTAATTCATGCCTAAACACAACGAATGAGAGATTTTTGTTAGGCAGGGAGTCGAGCTTAGGACAGGTTGTTTGCGAGCAGCTCGAAAGCGATACGAGGTAGCCCCGGGGTCGAGGACATTGGGCCGAGCCATTTATTCCGAACGTTGGTTTGTACCTCATGTATATAACAGGTCAGGTAAGAAAAGGATAATATATAGGGCTTGAGATCAGGGAATGTTCTCGCTATAGCGTGGATGGACTCATAGTGGTCGCCGCCAGATTCAACGCAGGCGCACCTCGTAGCCACCTTCCTCTCGATTGGTGTGTCTCCGCCCGAGTCCGTGAACTGCAGGTGTACTTGACGCCGAACCATTTGTCGGGTGCATCTCAACAGCTGGTCTGGCTCGATTCGTCAGCCCCCAAGGATGAAGCCAGTTGTATCCTTGGGATTTATCCGAGCCTGTCAAAGTCGAGATTCGGTGCAGTGTCGTGGAGCTCTGAGGCCCGCTCGAACCTCCAACAAACCGTTAAGTCCGCAAATGTAACCGCAAGCAACTCCCTGTGAAGCGGCTTAGAAACCTCCAGAGGTCTAGGGTTCCCAGCACCAATCACCACCCACCACCCATCTTCATGCTCATGCCACGTAAGTCCCTCGAAATTTGGTTAGGAGATTCTGGGGGGAAAGTATATTCCAGCTCCATACTTTCAAATTTCTCTCATATTTAGCTCCATGTTTACTCAAAAAGTACCACTTTCAAGGATTTCGCTCACGCGAGGCCCAAAGTATGTTCAAAATTGGTCCTGCGGGGCAAAGTTTTCGACACGTGTCCAATTTCGCATCGGAAATTTTCGACGTGGGGAAAAAACATAAAACCCCTAGGGAACCAGGGCACATTCGCGGGAGGGATCAACCCTAAACACCTCGCGGGTCCCCGTGTTTAGGGTTGATCCTCCTGAAAGTGTGTCCTGGTTTCCCTAGGGATGTTCTGTTTTTTTACCTCCGTCAAGATTTTCCAATGCGAAGTTGGACACGTGTCAAGAAGTTTGCCCCGCAGGACCAGATTTGAACATAATCTGGGCCTCGCGTGAGCAAACTTCTAGAAAGCTGTACTTTTTGAGTCGAATTGGGACTAAATTTGAGATATTTTTGAAACTATGGAGCTGGGATGTACTTTCCCGATTCTGGGGGAGGCAGCTCGCACGGCCTTGATCTATATTTTTCGTCATCAATTCCGACGGGCTTTATTGCGCAACTCGCCGGTTTTCGAATTTGTGTCAATCCTGTCGACCACTCGTGCACCACGTCAGCAGAAATTAGAATTCCATAAATCCGATCGACCCACCCTTTTTCTACACTTGCAAACACGAACTGGTCACTCTGTCGCAAGTATTGAGACTGCTTTAGGGTTTCTCGAATTTCGTAGGGTTGTGTGTGGTAGATTCTGTCGCGATATGCAAACAATGATTACGCGTGTCTGTTGGTCTCAGCAACTTGAGCGTTTCTGGACAAGCTGCACACCGATGGGGTACTTGGCGTTTTTCCCGCGCTACTCAGGGTTGTCAGATCACTGTAGGGATTGAAGGAAAGTTTTCTCGGGCGCGCAGTTTTGTCCGTAGTATTACGAAATAGTTTCGCGACAGTTCTCGGTAACTCGTTAAAAACATCTGCAATTTCTTGTTCCTATTCGATTGTACACTGTTCGATTGATGCATAATGTTCCTAAGAATATCACTTTTAGACGGGTGTAACTCGTACGGTAATTTCTGTTCCCAAGACCAAAAAGACTAAAACCACTTGAAATGTAATTTAATTCGGGATGCATCAACCCTAAACACCTTGTCGCATGGTGTTTCGGGTTGATGCCTCCCGAAGAACGTGCCATCCTATAGGGGTTTATTTTTATTTCTTCAGTCCCCTAAATGTCAAGCTAGAATCATGCGCGAGGTAACAAGCAATCAAGATTGGGATTCCCCAAAATCTCTACAGTTTCTTTTCTGGTTTCAAATTAATTATGATCGTTTCAACGAGTGACCAAACGTGATAGCGCTGTGATCACGCGCGATAGCAATGTACTGTACTGTGACTGTCCGTGATAACCCCATGACCACCCGTGACAAAACCGGCCTAATTGTGACTGCGCGTATAATTTCCCTATGGAACACCTGTTCTAACGGGCATCTGACTAAACGACACCAGAGGATGTACTGTACAACCCGAAGCATGACAAAACCAAATCGTGCTTGACATTTCACGGCAATTTCCTGCAGTGGTCGGATAAAGTTACTTCGTATAGTTACTAAAAAATGACAACCGACTAACTTAGAACTATTATCGCGCAACGGCTTGTAGGGTCCACGGGATTTATGGAACTCTAATTTGTGCTGACGTGGTACACGAGTGGTCGACAGGATTGACACAAATTTGAAAACCGTCGAGTCGCGCAATAAAGCCATTCCGACGTTTAAGGGAAGCGAAGTTGGCTGATCACATCTGGTCTGTTGAGAACTTCACTTCGTCACATCCAATCCAGCAAGCCACCACCTAGCACAGCAGGCTGCTTCTTTCGCGATCTCGTCCACCTCACCGCAGTCCGCACGCATCGTCGCGCCTCACCGCCCCCCCCCCGCCATGGCCACTGCGTCGCTCGCCGCTGCTCGTCCGACCAGCCTCGCGCTCGCCGCCGGCGGCGCATCGCATCGCGACCCCGCCACTACCGTCTCCACCTCGCTCCGCGCCGTGCCTCCGTCCGCAGGAAATCCGGGTCCGATGAGGGCAATCCGAAACGTGGCAACCAACGCTGTGAGTTCTCGCACTGTATCTACGGCTTGAGGGAGACGCCGCCGGAAACGGAGGACGGCTAAGGAAATGCTGCAAGGGACGAGAGTAAAGCAGTGCATCGACGCGAAGACCGATCGCACGTATTCAGATCCGCAGTCGCGCCCGTCCTGTGCCGTTCCACCGCCTCGTCATTCCGCCCCTCATCTCCGACACAACTTTCCCCTCCTGTCCCCCTCTTCCCCCCGCCCTCCACCAGGTGGCGGAGGAGCAGCCCGCGGTGGTGGCGGCGCCCATGGCGGACGCGGAACTGAAGCGCGGCATCGCGGAGTTCTACGACGAGTCGTCGGCGGTGTGGGTGGACATCTGGGGCGAGCACATGCACCACGGCTACTACCCCTCGCCAGTCGAAAAATCCGCGCAGACCAACGGCAGCGCCGTCTCCGCCGTTAACGGCAGCTCTATTAACGGGAACGGTAGCGCGGTTAGCAGCGGCGCTAGCGTGGATCACTTCGCGGCGCAGGTGGAGATGATCGAGCGCGTGCTGGCATGGGCTACGGCCGACGGTGAGCAGCTGTTTGGAAGCGAGCAGCCGCGAGGAGACGAGAACCGCCGCGGCGCGCGGTGCCACTGAGTTTTTTTTACCCGATCCCGCTCTAAGCCTGCGCACTTTCATCCCTTCCGCTGCCATCCCGTCCCCCGCCGACCCGCAGACAGCGAGGGCTGGAAGCCGCGGCGAGCGGTGGACGTGGGGTGCGGCGTGGGCGGCAGCTCGCGGCACATGGCGCGCAAGTACGGCGTGGAGGTGGATGCGATTACGCTGAGCCCGTGGCAGGCGGCGCACGGCAACCAGAACTGCAAGGACGCGGGGCTCGGCCAGCAGGTGTGTGCGCGCGCGGGGACGCGCACCTGGATCCCCTCTCACTCGCCTCCGTCGCTCGCCTCCCTTGCACCCGTTTCCTCTTCCCTTCCTTCCTCTCTTCCCGGCACGCCCTCCTCTAAATTCTCGCCGAGATCTCTTCGTTCGCTTTCCCCCGTCGCTCCGCCGCCCCCTTGCTCTTCCCCTCTGCGCCTCCCCCCTGCGCCTCTCCCAGGTGCGGCTGCAGGTGGCGGACGCGATGGCGCAGCCGTTCGACGAGGGGACGTTCGACCTGGTGTGGTCGCTGGAGAGCGGCGAGCACATGCCGCGCAAGCAAGAGGTGCGCGCGCATGGGACCGGGGTCACGCGCAGTGAGAGGGGGAGGCGAGGTGAAGAGCGGACGGGTTGTGGGGAAGTACGGGAAACCGAATGCGTGAGGAGTGGGTATGAAGGGTAGATCTTTGGGGTGACGGGGTTCAGGAGGTTGGGGGGGAGGTGGAGGGCGCGGGAGGAGTTAAAGAAGTCCTCGCACCTCCTACTTACTCCCTCCCTCTTACGCACGCTCAAGTACTTCTCATGGGTTCATCACCCAACCGTGCCCCCTCCACCGCCTGTGCGTTCTCCCTTCCCCCCACCCCCCCTTCCCCCCTCTCCCCCCCTCTCCGTGCCCAGTTCGTGCGCGAGCTGGTGCGCGTGGCGGCGCCAGGCGGGCGCATTATCATCGTGACGTGGTGTCACCGCGACCTGCTGCCGGGGGAGACAGAGCTCTCACAGGGCGAGCAGGTGCCCTTGGGGATGGGAGGAATGGTGGAAGGGGGAATGGGGGAAGGGTGAAGGGGCCATGCACGTGGCAGCACATGTGCGTCATGACCTATGGTCTTGCGACACACCCCACACTGCACCATCACACTCCTCCATGCCTCCCTCTTCCTCGCCCACCTTCCACTCCCACGGCCACCCTGTGTGCTGCCTGCTCCCTTCTCACCGTGTCCTACAGCCCTTTCCTCTCCGTTACCCTCCTCGTCTCATCCCGCCACACATCATTCTCCTCCTACCTAGCCTCATCCGCTGCCCTTTCTCCTGTCTCCCCTTGCGTCGTCTCCTCCCCGCCTCCCCCCAGGCTGTCCTGCAGCGCATCTGTGACGCCTACTACCTGCCTGCATGGTGCTCGCCCTCAGACTACGTGCGCTTCGCCACCGACGCTGGGCTGCAGGTACGGCCGCGGCAGGTACACTGCGGCAGGTACGGCCACTGCAGGTACCGCCGGTACAGGGATATGGTGCGGGACGCCTGATGCGACACCATACATTCCTCCCCAAAGCGCTCCATGATAAGGTGCTTGGCCCCGGTGTTGTTCTAGCGATCGAGGCACTGCTCCAGGTTCCAGGTTGTGGGGAGACACAGCATTCACTGGGGCATGCACCCGCCGGTTTCACACCCCAGCACATGCACAAATGCATATCTGTGCCTGTGCAATTGCACGCATACCGATGCTTGCACCCACACACGCATGCGCACCCGCACGCTGCACTGTCACTGCCTTGTTTTTTCGTAGGTATCCTTCTGACTAAATCTGGCCAAATTGTGCATGGCACCGCATCCCCTCTAACCCCCAGGACGTGCGCGTGGCGGACTGGACGGAGAACATCTCGCTCTTCTGGCCGGCCGTCATGCGTTCGGCGCTCACACCCAAGGGCATCTGGGGGCTGCTGTCGTCAGGGTGGAAGACGCTCAAGGGCGCCGTGGCCATGCTGTGGATGATGCAGGGGTACAACTCAGGGCTCATCAAGTTTGCCCTCATCACCGCCAAGAAGCCATTGTGAGCAGGTGAAGTGGGGCTATTTCCTGCCTCCTCTGCTCTCAGCTTGTACGGGCTTTTTTTCTCGTCGTACTGCATCCCTTCCCATGTTGTTGTGGTCTCACTCACTCTCGAAAGCTCTCTTCTTTGTGTGTGTGTGTGTGTTTTTTTTTTTTTTTTTTTTTTTTTTTTTTTTTTTTTGCAGCTGAATTGGGACCCAATGCAGTGTATTCTGAATCTCCTGTTGTATTTAACCCAGTGCTGCTGCTGGTCGTTGAATCAAAAGGAATGTCTGACATGTGCATGTATATTGATTGGTCGTAGTTTTTACTGGTATTCCTGAGAAAAGGTTAAAACAACAGGATTTGGACAACCTTGCAAAATTCCATCTCGGTTGACTTACACAATTCAGAAGTTCGATAAGTTTAAACACTACAGTAGTACCGTAGTACCGTATGTGTGCATGTTACTGTAGCATGTGTCCCTTCGCGTAAGTTACATGTACCGTAAACCCTCGGATATAAGACCTGGGGGTCTTAACAGACTTGCACAAAAAAAATGGGGGGGCGGGGGGTGGGGGGTCTTCACAAATGTCAACAATTTTATAAGACCCGGGTCTTACCGTATGGCCCCGGATATAGCTGCCGTCCTATTAAAAGCGCCGACGCTTATGGCCGGTCCTCAACTATACGTGACCCCACTGTGAAACCTTTACTTTGTCAAATTGCATTTGTTATCTCTAGGTTGTGGTGGGGCATACTCTAAGGAGTACAACACTTTAGGGTTGCATCCTAGTACTTGTACTCATGCTTGCATTCTAGTCAATCATTCCTACGTTCTTTCTCTAACATTAGCTAGAGGCTAGGGTTTGTGAGAAGAGGGTTTGGCCAAGAGAAGGGGTTGCACTATAGAATGCAGTACAAGTTATAGGAAACGGGGGAGGTGGTGAAGGGAGGTAGACCACCTAAGACAAGATAGGTGATACTACACTAACTAACTAAACATGCAATTATATAAGAATTACAAATTCTGTCTTGAGGATGAATAGCATCCCAATGAGGGCAGCCTAACCTCTACAAGCATCGTTGGTGTGCTGTCTGTAAGCACCCCAGTCAACAATCCCTCCCGTACCGCACTGCACCGCACTACACTCGAGGCTTGGGTTAACAAAAACATGATGGTCAGATGTTATGAAATGAAACAATCCTCGATCGGAGCTAGATTGGAACTTGGAAGGCAACGACATGGCCACATCAAAACTTGAAGTGAGGAAAATATACACAGCGAGTCGAGCTTCTCCCCCACCCTCTCTTCCGTTCCCCCCTCCCCCCTTCCTCTCCACGCGTGACAGACGGCTTGCCACGAACAACTTGTCCGGCTCCATCCCCCCGTCCTTCACCGCTTTGTCATCTCTCGCTGTCCTGTATGCTGCTCTCAAGTTTCCACTCGCCTCCGAAGCTGCCATTGTCTACCTTCTGTTCTCTAGCCTGTCTTTCTGTCCGTCCGTCCGTTTGTCTATCTGTCTGTCTGTCTGTCCGTCTGTCTGTCTGTCTGTCTGTCTGTCTGTCTGTCTGTCTGTCTGTCTGTCTGTCTGTCTGTCTGTCCGTCTGTCTGTCTATCTGTCTGTCTGTCTGTCTGTCTGTCCGTGTCACATCACCGCTGTCAAGCCCTCATGGCGGGAGCAATGCCCTTCCCATGCTCTTCCCATGCCCTCCCATGCCCTCCCATGCCCTCCCATGCCGTCCCATGCCCTCTCATATCCCCCCATGCCCCCCCATGCCCTCCCATGCCCTCCCATGCCCTCCCATGCCCTTCCATGCCCCCCTATGCCCTCCCATACCCTCCCACGCCTTCCCACTCCCTCCGATGCCCACTGCACCCGGCCATTTCCTGGTTTATCAGCAATATCAAGGAGAACCCTCTTTCAGGAGGCTTGGAGGCACTTTCAAACCTGAACAATATCATCTACCTGTGAGTAAAGTAGAAGCAGCACTGCATACCATGTGCCGTCTCTGCCCATTTTATTCCCTGGATGCAAAATATGGCGAACGGGCTATATGTATCTGATGCACAGGGAATGGAATGCAACGTCCTCTAGCCCTCCCAAGCAATCGAAATGGATCGAGCTGAGTGGATTAAGGCCCGGGTCCCCGATGTGCTTCCAATCGCTGCCAACGTTTATATCTCATCCGTTATCATCTCATCCGTTAACATCTCATCCGTTAACATCTCATCCGTTAACATCTCATCTTCCTCAATCCACCCTTTCTTCACGCATCTGGGATGCAGCATCATTAATTCGTGCAATTTCTCGGGCCCCTTTCCTGAATTGAAGGCGATAACAAGCATGAATACCCTGTGAGTGGCGCCAACAGAGCTGCACTACAACTTGAACGTTCCATTCCTTGCTCTTTCACCCCCCTGCTCCTGCCCTCCTTCCAAACAAGCCCTTCCCTCCTCTCACCCTCTCTCTGCGCCGCATTCTCCCCCTTCACCTCCCCCTCGTCTGCCTCACTGCAGGGACATATCCAACAACCGCTTCACGGGAACCTTCCCGGCAGTCGCGCTCCATACAAGTGTTACTCACATGTACTACTAATCGCTCCACACCGCCACCTGACACTGTCGACAGTGAATCATGTCAGGCTTTTTTTGTTCTTCTTCTTTTTTAGTGGGGCCAACCAATCCGCAGAGACAGTGCAGGAGAACCACGGGCATCTCATGCGGCCATACAAGCACAATCTGGGATTCTGAACGCTCATCTCTTCTTCCGTGGCGGCTTGTCTGTTCACCTTGACATTGCTCGGGACGCATGAGCACTGGCTATGGCGAGTAGTACTCGCCTCGAGTTCCACATTGCCTCGTCTGAGTAACGGGGCTGGACGAGTAATAATCCATGCTAGTAAATGAAGCTCTCGCTGTCAGAGAAAATGGTGGGTTTTAGTTTTACTCGCCCAAGTTCGCTCCACACGACCAGGCACGGTGTGTGTGTGTGTGTGTGTATGTGTGTGTGTGTGTGTGGGTTTTTTTTTGTTTTTTTTGTTTTTTTTTGTTTTTTTTTGTTTTTTTTTTTTGTAGTGTGGAAAAATGAGGCACGGAGCTCAGCGTGAAAAGGTCGTCCCTGAAATGAGGTGACTTTTGAGTCGACTCAAAACTCACCCGATGCATGATGCTGGTGGTTCCTTCCGTTTCCTCTCCTCTTCACATGTGCATGTCAGCCCCACCCACAGCACATCAACCATCGCTGCATGATTTCCAACTCCCCACACAACCTCAACATCCCTCTCAAATATTCACCCCCTCCATTTTCCAACCCCTCAACCAACCAAACCTATGTAATCCCCCACCCACGGACTATTGCCCTCTTCCCCCCACAGCAACGTGCCTGCAATGCCTTCACAGGAGATATCCCTCCTGCCATTTCCGACATCCCCTTCCTGACAACGTTGTCAGTGCCCTCATGCCCACGCCACCCTACACCCTACCCGCGCCTCCCTCCCTCAATTAAAAACTGTGTTTGGTTCATTTTTATTCTGCCCTAAGCAGCGTGTCAACACTGCACACCTCTGATCCCACCTGCTCTCTGCACACCCACCCACCACGCCCTTGCCTGCTCCCTGTGATTCAGTTTGTGGTTATCTCTTGCTCCACAGAGACTGCCTGCTCTCATTCTTGCATCGCTTTACACCACCGTGCATCATTACTTAGTAGTAGTTACCCCATGCCTGAGTTTCCCCATATCGCCACAACCAGCTGCATGCCTGTTTCTCCCTCCCATTCGGCATGCCTATGCAGGGATGTTCACTGCAATGCATTCACTGGCACTCTCCCTAAAATTTACTCTAACGAGTTTGTGGCGCTGTAAGCTGTTTCTATCCTTCCACTTCCACGCAACCACACAAGCGCGTGCAAGTGGGAGCTACAGTGTCATCCGCCCCTCTTCGTTCCACATCGCTTGCTGCACACCCTTTCGTTCCAGTCCCCCTTTGTTCTGCACCCCTTTGTTCCGCACCCCTTTGTTCCGCACCCCTTGGTTCCGCACCCCTTGGTTCTGCACCCCTCCACACCCCTGCATTCCGCACTGCTTGCTGCACACCCCTTTGTGTCACGACGAGGTTACCAGATTGCTTCAAAGAGCTTCAGATGTTTTTCAGCAGTGGGATTGCAATGCCTGATGCCTGATGCCCGATGCCTATCGAGGGATGCCCTCACCACTTGATGTTCACTGCTCACCTCCCCCAATCTTCTCTTCCTACGCCCCTTCACCCCCCTCTCCCCACCCCTTTCACTCTCTTTTTCTCTCTCTCTCTCTCTCTCTCTCTCTCTCTCTCTCTCTCTACCACTCTCTCTCTCTCTCTCTCTCTCTCTCTCTCTCTCTCTCTCTCTCTCTCTATCTCTCTACCACACTCTCTCTACCACACTCTCTCTAACACACTCTCTAACAGACACTCTCTCTCTCTCTCTCTCTCTACCACACTCTCTCTACCACACTCTCTCTACCACACTCTCCCTCCCCACGCCCCCCTCCCCCCTTCTCGTCCATCTGCAGGGACGTCGGCAGCAATCAGTTCACGGGCGCCCTGCCTGTCTCCTATGGCCGCATGTCCTCTCTGCAGCTGCTGTAAGCCATGCTCAGCCCTGCACGCCATGCACTGCACGCCATGCACTGTCCACCATGCACAGCCCTGTCGTGCATGCAACAAGTGGATTGCCACGAAGCAGACTTGTTGCATGTCCAATGCATTGATGCTCTTGCTTCTGCCTCTCTGTGTTGTTTGTTCTCATTCTGTCCCGTGGCATGGCATACATGGCAGGAATGTCAATGAGAACAAGTTGGCCGGCCCCATTCCTGCCAGCGTGGGCGGCCTTTCCCACCTGTGGTCCTTGTGAGTACTCACTCTTGCACCCATGGACCGATGAAAATATGCAACCATGCACCCATGCAACCATGCACCTCTTGCATGCACTCATGCTCCCATATTTCCACTGCCTCCACTTGTATCCCACTCCTCCCCTCCCCTCCTC